CATTTTTACTCTCTTTTTCTTTTCTCAGTGCTAAGGATTGACAGGGCCCTGCACATGACAGGCAAGCATTTTGCCTAGCCCTTGATCCTTCCTTTTTTCTTCTTTCTTCTTCTTCCTCCTCCTCCTCATCTTCCTCTCCCCAAGCCCACTGAAACAAGAAATAGTTTCTTCTGCACCCCATTTTGAATAACCATAGCCTGGAAATACAAATTTACATTACCCTAAATTTCATGTTCTAATAAGGAAACAGTTTGATGAAATTTGTATAGTTTTACAGAACAAAGATACATCATTGGGGCCGTCAGAGAGGAAGGGAAGGTTTTCTATAGGCCCAATATGTCATCTAAAGTCATTCTTTACTTGTAGGTTGATAGAAGCTAAGTTGATATATTCTTCTTTTTTTTAAAGATTTATTTGTCTGCTTGCTTGCTTATTTATTTATTTATTTATTTATTTATTTATTTATTTATTTATTTATTATGTTTGCAGTGTTCTGCCTGCATGTATGCCTGCAGGCCAGAAGAGCACCAGATCTCATTATATGTGGTTGTGAGCCACCATGTAGTTGCTAGGAATTAAACTCAGGACCTTTGGAAGAGCAGACAGTGCTCTTAACCACTGAGCCATCTCTCCATCCCCCAAGATGATATATTCTGAAAGCTTTTTTAATCTATTCGTCACAAGATGCTAGATCCAACAAAAAGGTGGTCAAGGGATGGTTCTTCTGAGGGCTAGAACTAGCCCAAAATAATAAGGTAATTAGCCTCTTAACCTAGATAGTTTCTTTTCAAGAGTTTTTGCTCATAGTGGCCCCTGTTGGCCAACCATCACATTCTGCGCATGCAGAAGCCACATACTACTTACTAAATATGTTTGGGTCCCTCACAGCTAGGAAGGCTCATCCTTAGGATCTGATGTAGAGAGACTGACTAGTGGGCAGGGCAGCACTTCAGGAGAGGGGAACAGCCAGTAAAGGCCACTAAGAAAGAAATGCCTGGATCATATCAAAGCTATTAGCCATAATGATCTGAATCTGAACTGTCACACCCTCTGCACCTGACATGACATCTACATATGTCATAGGATGACAATACCTAAAACTAGGTAATCAAGACCACAGTTTGGCCAAATGGGCTGAATAGCCCTTGATTCTTTGATACAAAGTCTTGTCTATAGCTCAGGCTAGCCTCAACCTCCCTTACCTCCTCTACCAACACACCGGGCTGGAACTAAAGTATTTATTTCACATTTTCATAACTCCTTTGAGACAGAATTTCATGTATCCCATGCTGAATGCCAGTTTGTTATGCAGCTGAAGATTACAGCATTCACTACCAAGTATTGTTAATGCAGCGATGGGGCTCATTCCAGCACTCTTTGCAAACCAGGCAAGTTCTCTACCAACCAAGCTATATTCCCAGGCCCATATTAAAAAAATAAATAAATTTTTTTTTTTTTTTTTTTTTTTTTTTAGAGTCTCACTGTGTAGCTCTAGCTGGCCTGAAACCCTCTAATGTAGACCAGGATGACCTCAAACTCAGAGAACTGCCTGCCTGTGCCTCTTGAGTGATGGGATCAAAGGTGTGGACCACCACACCTGGCTCAGAGCTACACCTCTAACTATAGCATACAGCCTGTGTACAGTGCTCACCCGGCTTGAAATGCCTAACACCCTTTCTATTTAAAACTGCCTTCCTAAGCTTCCTCGAATCCAGGAAGGTTCAAAACCATAGTCTCTTCTTTGTGTCTCTTTTCCGGAACAGAGTCTGAGCAAAAAGAGCCCCTGACCTTTGATGGTCCTCAGATACTTCCATGGACAGGCCAAAGTAAAAGCCAAGGACGCTTGGTCCTTCCCAGTCCACCTGGCAGGAATTAACTGAACCTTGCCAAATGGCTCTCTCCTCCACAGGAAACCACACCTGCAGTTTTTAAACTGTCTTTGTGCAATGAAACCCTTCAACAAAGAGCAACATTGAATATTCTGCCTAAAAGGAGTTTGGATAGACTAGTCCAGAACAGTTTCCAGTTTTCCCACACATACTTCTATATCCTTGGTCTTCCTAGAAGTCACAAAAAAAAAAAAAAAAAAAAAAAGGCTTAAAATTAGCAGGCCCACAGTGGCCACAAGTGATTCAGCACTTGGGAGGAAGGGGAAGGAAGATCAGGTGTTCCAGGCCAGCCTCAGCTATGTACTGAGTTTAAGGCTCTAACCCTGCCTCAGAAAAGCAAAAGCAGAAACAAGTGGTAACAGAACTAGCAAAACCAGAAGGCTAGGAGGAAATGGGACTGGCAAGTTCAGAGAAAAAGAAGGCTGATCACCACAGAGAAACAGAGAGTGTGTTTGCGGCTGGACAAGAGCTGGCAAGGGACAGGTGTGTCTGGAGTGGGCCTATCCTTCAGAGTTTTTCTGTTTTTCTTCTGCTATGTGTATCCTTGTCACAATAAGGCTTGGGTGGAGGGATGGAAACCATAAGGCCCTACCCTCCCAGCTCAGCTCTTCGATGATAGATTTTAGAAGTGTGCAGAGAGACATCACCTAAGACATTCCCAATATGTGCCCTTAGGGGTTCAAATGAACCTGGATTCTGGGGATCTGAGACCTTGCAAGGCTAGGCTCTAAGCAGGCTTCCCTGTCTGATCTAGGCTCCTCTCTCATCTCCCAACCACAAACATGCCTGCTTTGTGCTGGGAACATTCTGAACTCTGCTTTAGCTCCTAGGATTGTAACGTAGTCTCCATGCTTCGAATCACCAGAGGTCCATCCCTACACTGAAGACACCCTCTCTTCCCTCTAATAACTCAAAACCCTTGCTCTTCCAAGGACACCTGCTTGGTAAACACATTCCTACACCGAGAGCAGCCTGGCTCCTTCCTGCTCTTCTGTAAGGTTTTCATGCCACTAGTCAAGCATGCATCACCAACCGTGGACACTAAGGGAATGCTGCTTTATAGACTATTACAACTCCAGTGATAGCAAATTGCAATGAGTCTCAATGATAATGAAATCCATCAGGGCAAACTATGCACTCGGCACTGTGGAATGCCCAGGTACAACAGCCCTTGGATTCAGAGTCAAAATCCCTTTTCAATATGCCACAGAGAGTAAACACCTCTATTTTATTATAATGTTCAATCCCACTGACCATAGCATTTAAAAAAAATAAAACGACCTTCCCATCATTCATCTCAGACAGCTGGTTCAGAGGCTTTCAATTCAAGGTGATTTTGTAATTTTCTATTCCTGTCTGGCTAACCAGCTGCCCAAATTGTATCAGACAGTTCCCTCATGCAGTCCTCAGAGAACAAACATTACTGAAGGCAGGGTGTTAATAATGCCTTCAAAAGCACTGCCCATCTCACAAGAAACGTTGGAAATACTTTTCAGAAAAACAGCTTTGTGAAATTGTGGCAGCTTGCGGAACCCAGAGAACAAGCTGGGTGGCTGACATCGCTGACCATTATTTAAAAACTGAGTCATGGATCTCAACCGAAGTAAACAGTTTAAGCAAACACCGGGGAAAGACAAACATGGAGCCAGAGTGAGCCTGCTGACAGAGGAATGGGTGATTTAAACCAAAGCTGCTGACCCATCCAGATGTTCTGCTGTGACCAAAATCTGTCCCAGGGGGATCCAAGAAACCACAGAAAGCCATTCTCCATCACCTCTCCGTGAAATGGCCTGAAGCCAAAAGGATGAGACCAAAACCAGTAATAAACTTAACACACAGCGTTTCCTTTCCTTTTGTTGTCTGAATCTGTTTCATAATTAAAACTTTGGGATATTTGTTTCTTCCTTTTGAGACAAAGTCTCACCATTCAGTCATGTCTGGCCTGGATCTTGCTATGTAGATCAATCTGGTCTTGAACGTGCTGTGATTCTCCTGCTTCAGCCGCTCAAGGGCTGGGACTACAGTTCTACACAACCACACCCAGCTCATAATTAAACTTTAGGTGTATACACACACACACACACACACACACACACACACACACACACACACACTTAAAATGCATAAAATGAAAATGAAAAGTCTCTTTCGGAGTTGGCATGAATGGATAATTATTGAAGATGGACAACTACTGATGAATTGTTGAAGTTAGCCTTGACAGGTAAATGAGAATTTGGGACGTTGTATTTGGAATTGATGTTTGGGAAGCGCTACTTTCCCAAAGAACTTGCTCTCTCTAGTTCCTTGTATATTTTTGTTATGTGCGTGCACACATGTATCTCCATAAACGTAGTTCATGAAATAGGTCATGGTACACACGTTACGTAATTTTTTTATTATTAGATTTTTAATTTTTTTTCTACTTCCTTATTAATCACTTTACAGCCTGATCCCAACCCCCTTCCTCCTCTCTTCCTGGTCCTACGTTCATGGCCTCCTTCACCCTTATCAATTGTTTTTTTTTCCCTTTTAAAGACAGGGTCTCTCTATTATGTAGCCCAGGCTGTTCTAGAACTTGCTATGTAGACCAGCCTGGTCTTGAACTCACAGAGTTTCACCTGCCTCTGTGCTAACATTAAAGGCTTTACGTTGCATACAGCTTTGCTTCAAGAAAAATGTTTTAATTTTTCAAGACTGATTAAATTAATAGAGGATTTGGACAGGAATAAAAACAGGAAGAAAAGGGCTGAAGAGATAGCTCAGCAGTTAAGAACATATATTCATATACTGCCCCTGTGGAGGACAAGGCTTTGGTTCCCAGAACCCATGTGGGGTGGCTTACAACCATCTATAACTCCAGCTCCAGGGGATCTGATGTCCTTTTCTGATCTCTTCAGGTACCTGCAATCATGAGCATAACCCTCACCCCACATATATGCATAATTTTTAAAAATTAAAATAAATTATTAACAAAACCAGGAAAAATGTACAGATCTGTAAAGAGAAAGAATGTGACTGCAGATGGAGCTGGTCTCAGAGTACATATTATCAGAAGCTTAAAAACCACATTAACGAGTCTTACCAAATGTTCTACCAGAAAATCTTTCTTATGCTCGCTTCAGCAGAACATATACTAAAATTGGAATGATACAGAGGTGATTAGCATGGCCCCTGTGCAAGGATAACATGAAAGAAGAGCCTTGACCTCATTGGTACAGGAGACAACTTCCTGAGCAGAACACCAACAGCACAGGCTCTAAGATTAACAATCAATAAATGGGACCTCATGAAACAGACAAGTTTCTATAAAGTAAAGGACAAAATGACAGCATACAGATTGGGAAAGGATCTTCATCAACCCTATATCTGACAGAGGGCTGATATCCAGAATATATAAAGAACTTAAGTTAAACACTGAGGTTGGGGATTTAGCTCAGTGGTAGAGTGCTTGCCTAACAAGTGCAAGGCCCTGAGTTCAGTCCTCAGCTCTGGAGAAAAAAAAGAAGAAAAAGTTAAACCCTAACAAACCAAGTAATCCAATTTTTAAAAATGGGGGTACAGAGCTAAACAGAGAATTCTCATTACAGGAATATCGAATGGTAAGAAATGCTCAAAATCCTTAGTCATCAGGGAAATGCAAATCAAAATGACCCTGAGATTTTACCTTACACCCATCAGAATGGCTAAGATAAATAACTCAAGTAACAATACATGCTGGACAGGATGTGGAGAAAGGGGAACCCTCCTCCACTGCTGGTGGGAATGTAAACTTGTACAACCACTTTGGAAATCAATCTGGCACTTTCTTAGAAAACTGGGAATAGTGCTCCCTCAAGATCCAGTTATACCACTCCTAGGCATATATCCAAAATATGCTCAACTATACACCAAGGACATTTGCTCAGTTATGTTCATAGCACTTTTATTTGTAATATCCAGAACCTGGAAACAACCGAGATGTCCCTCAACGGAGGAATGGATACAGAAACTGTGGTACATCTACACAATGGAATACTACTTGGCTATCAAAAACAAGGAAATCATGAACTTTGCAGGCAAATTGGTGGGAAATAGAAAAGATCATCCTGAGTGAGGTATGCCAGAAGCAGAAAGACAAACATGGAATATACTCACTCATAAGTGGATATTAGGCTCTGAAAGACTCCACTGGTAGAGGTATGGAAGCAGAGGCTAGACTCATAGCCAAACTTTAGGCGGAGTGTAGGGAGTCATATGAAAGAAGGGGGAGTTATAAAGACCTGGAGGGGACAGGAGCTCCAAAAGGAGACCAACAGAGCCAAAAAAAACAAAAAACAAAAAAAACAAAAAACAAAACTGAGTCCTGGGGGTCCTGCAGAGACTGATACCCCAGGCAAGGACAATGCATGGGGAAGACATAAAACCCAGGCTTAGATGTAGCCAATAGACTCAGTCTCCAAGTGGGCTTCCTAGTAAGGGGAACAGGGATTGTCTCTGACATGAACTCAGTGACAGGCTCTGATCACCTCCCCCTGAAGGGGAAAACAGCCTTACCAGGCCACAGAGGAAGACAATGCAACCAGTCCTCATGAGACCTGATAGACTAGGGTCAGAGGGAAAGGGAAGAGGACCTCCCCTTTTGTTTTGTTTTGCGACAGTGTTTCATGTAGCCCAGACTGGCCTTCAAGTTGCTCTGTAGCCACAGATGTTTTTAAATTCTTTTTTAAATTTATTTATTTATTTTGTATACAATGTTCTGTCTCCATGTACTCTGCACACGAGAACAGGGCACCAGATCTCTTATAGATGGTTTATGAGCCACCTTGTGGTTGCTGGGAATTGAACTCAGGACCTTTGGAAGAACAGCCAGTGCTCTTAATCTCTGAGCTAGCCCTCCAGCCCTGTTTTTGAACTCTTGATCCCCTGCCACAATATCCACAGGTCTGCGGCAGGTGTCCAGCCATCTCTGTGACATGTCACAGCAAAGCTCTCAGACTTTAAGTACATGCAGGAAGGAAGAACATTTCACTCAGAGCCTGGCATACCATAGGCTGTGTGATGAAAGAGCATTTGCATAAATAAAAGCAGGGATGTCTTGCATCTGCATGGAGCCCTGATATCATGGACCCTGGATATCTCCAGGGTCATTTCGCCCTGCGACAGGACCTATATGGTGCCTCACACTTGTAATCCTGGCATTCAGGAGACGAAAGCAGAATTGCTGCAAATTCAAGGCTAGACTGGGCTGCACAGTGAATTCCAGGCCAGGCTGGGTGACAGTGTGATCATTGCCTCAAACACACAATACAACACAAAGTGAAGGTCTGTCCCTGTAAATCAGGAAGAGGAGATCACACTCGATAGATCTTGTGAATTCAAGTTCCTTGAGAAGGCCCCACCCACCCTTGCCAAAGATGCTTCAGTCTGACGGATTAGAACTTGTGATAGTGGGGCGACAGGCATTTATTACCCACCCCTGTGTCTGATCTAATAACTTTTGGCTACCAGGCAAAACCTCTGGAATGCACTAATTAACGAAGTTAGCAGGAAACCACCAGCTTCTACTACTCTGAACGCTCAGAAAGTCAGCAGCAGCTCCTGAAACCTCTCTCAGAGATTCCCCCGTCTTGCTCTAACTCCCCCACGTCACACCCCACCAGTGTCTTCAGGAGATGCAGTTATTTATGTTTGTTCGTGTAAGTGCTTTTATGGTGGAGCATGTCATTCGGGGTAACCTGAATGTGTATGTTCCTGGGCTGTGGTCAGTCACATTTGACTCAGGGTAAATTCTCTTTTACTTCCTTTGTAAAAAGAACTGTGTTCTGTATTGGCAGCAAACACAAAAGGAAACTTAAAAAGAAAATAGAAAATGGTTCAAGATGTGTTTTAATAAGGGACAGAGTCAGGATTTGAACCTAGATCTGAATTTTTATTTTTATTTTTTGAGACCTGATTTTTCTGTGTAGCCCCAGTTGTCCTGGAACTCACTATGTAGTCAGAATGGCCTCAAACTCAGAGATCCACCTGCTTCTGCCTCCTGAGTACTGGGATTAAAGGTGTGCACCATCACTACCTGGCTAGATTGACTTCTGCACAGAGATTTCCATGTCATCAAATGCCAATATTCTGCCTATTTTTGTGGCTGTATAGACTCAGAAGATGAAAATATTTATATGCCACACAGATATATACCAATATAAATACAGAGGAGACACATGGAAGAGCCTACAAAAGACATGCTCATTCTCCTGTTCGTACTGAGCTCTTTAGTTAAGACAACAAACACACTTAGGAATAGGAAATGTGCCAGAGGGTTCTAGCATGCTGGACAGTCAGCATAAGTGTGTGCAGGGCATAAATCCAGAATTTCAATGTGTGCATAAAGGCTCCAAGCCTTTTAAACCTCTGGAGATAAGGAATAACAGAAAATCAAGATCGCAGGGGCTAAGGGTCAACCCTCCTCAGGGCATTAGACCTGTGATTTTTCACTTAGCTTCCATGGGACCTTTTCCTCAACAGGTCTCCTAAACAAAGAGCCAAAAACAGATCACAGCAAATCTCCAGCTAGTCCTTTGATGAGTCAGAAAAACACCCTTCCTACTTGCAAAGTGCCTTTCCAAGAATTGTTTAAAGCGGGTTATTATTTACCTGCAAACCACACCCAGGAGTCTGAGGCCTCTAATTGCCTTACAGGTGAAGAAATTAGTCCACAAGGTTTGGGGAACTTGTAAGATACAGGATGACTCACAGGGCCATGCTGGTTGCTATGCCAACTGCCTCTTGCCTTTCCTTGGTAAAGATCGGAGCCATTCTCTCCATTCTGGGTGTGCTAACCCCTGTCATCCCCTTCTAATGAGGGGGTGATGTTCTCAACCCCTCCTTCCACAGACACGGTTCACACTTTACAATAGTGTTTCTCAAACCACTGAACACTTTGTTCTTCCCTTCACCTCTGGTCCCAAGATCCTGCAGTGGCTTAATGAATAGTGCTATTCAGATGACAACAAAGAAGGACAAGGAAAGAAAGTACAGCTTCCAGGTAGGACTGAGAGTCTCAGTTGAGTCAACAATGAGAAATGAGCTTCCTGTTCATCCCATTCACTATGTACCACTGACTCATCACAGCACAGCTATGGAGCCAGAGAGAGAGCCAGCACTCAAGGTTGTGCCCTCGGTTCACTGCTTTAGACAAAGCATGTGATTTCTCTTCTCAATACCTTGACTTTTTAAATCTCTCTATATATAAATGTCAACAAAACACATCTCATAGGGTTGTTGTAAGGATTCAATGAGAGACTAATGAAGTTCAAAGTATCCAATGTTGGCTCCTATTAGTTATTACATAATGTATTTCATTATCAGATTTTGCCAGAAGCATCATCAATCTCCCATTAAGTTCTGTATCACTTCTTAAAGTAAATGTAGTCCTAAATCAAGGCATGATTGTGGTATGCTAGCAACCTAAAGAAAAAGACCTGGCTGTTCTCTTCTTAAAGGAGTAGAATGGATGATAGAATGTCAGGTTAAATCCAGAGGTTCCTATAAGGGAGCCCTGGGTCACACCCCAAGAACAAGCTAAGATCAGTTTTCCCATAAGGTGTGCTATAACCAATCTCTAGTTAAATCAATGAATTGCTTTAAGTAGGAAAAAAAAAAAAAACAAAAAAACAAAAAAACAAAACATTAGCCCAACCAGTTCAAGCTTTCAGTCATGTCAGATTTTGGCTTTTTGTTATTGTTGTTGTTTTGTTTTGTTTTGTTTTGTTTTTTCATGTCAGGGTTTCTCTGTGTAGTCCAGAGTGGCCTCGAACTCACAGAGATCTGACTGCCTCCACCTCGGGAGTGCTGGAATGAAAGATGTGTGCCACCACTGCCCAGCTCATGACACTTTTTATAGATGAGAAAAGGGAGACTTAGTGAATCTGAGATATTTGCCCTGTTATCCAAGATGAGATATAAACCTTGACCTTCTGTCGTTAGCAGAATGGTCCGGTGTGCTGTCCAAAAACACAGCAAGAACAACAGCTGTGGCTCTCGTGTTCTACCCAGAATGGGCCCACTGGTGGTAGAGCTGGCCGTACCGCAGAGAGCCTTGTAAGTCATTTCTGATAACACCAGGCTGCATTCATCCTTGAGAAAGACAACTATCTATCCAACCACCAGCCAGAGGCTTATTCTGTAAAGCTCTTCCCCAGCAATAAAAAGACTCTGGGCATTCTAGACAAGAGAAAAAT